TTAAGGAAACTACTGAAAATATGTGCAAGATAAACCATAAGATATTTATTATAACATCTTAAAAGAGCAAAAACGTTCCTGACTGGTTAAATTAATAATACATCTACTACATGATGGACTACTACATTTCTAACACAAAAAAATTAGAATAAAGTTTTTTTAAACTTGAGATCTACTGCACATGTACAGTGACTTTTAAATAATATAAAATACTTTTAATGTCAAGGCAAAATGCCCACAATTTGTTGAGTACAAAAAAAAAAAAAATCAGATTTCAAAAATGAAACTATAATAATTCCAATTTGTTTAAAACAATTCTTTATGAGACTAAAAATCTACATACAGAAATATTAAAAGTTATTCGGGTAGTGGGACTATCATGTTCATTTTTTTTTTTGATTAACCAGAATTTTCTAACTTTTAAAAATGAACATGATTAATTAATTATATATATATATATATATATATATATATTTAAATTATTTTTTAGTTGTTGATGGACCTTTATTTTTAATTTATTTATATGCAGTGCTGAGAATCAAATCCAGTGTCTCACACATGCTAGACAAGTGCTCTGCCAATGAGCCACAACCCCAGGCAATTATTTTATGTATTTGAAAAAACTTTTTAAAAATCCTATTTTTGAGAGTCTTTTTTTGGGGGGCTGGGTTGTGACTCAGCGGTAGAGCACTTGCCTGGCACGTGCAAGGCCCTGGGTTCAATCCTCAGCACCACATATAAATAAATAAAATAAAAGCATTGTGTCTAATTATAACTAAAAAATAAATATTAAAAAAGAGTCTTTTTTTGATTTATATATTATAAAAAACAGTTATTTGGGGGCTGGGGTTGTGGCATAGTGGTTGAGCACTTGTCTGGCATGTGTGAGGTACTGGGTTTGATCCTCAGCACCACATAAAAAGAAATAAAAATGAAACCAAGGTATTGTGTATATCTCTAACTCAAAAACAAACAAACAAACAAATAAAAAAAACCCCAAAACAGTTGTTTTAAATCTCACTTCCTCTAAAATGTGAAAACATGAGGGTTTATAAATACTAGGTCCACCAAATCTAATGGTAAGAGAGGAGGCTAGTTTTACTTAGCATTTCTTGTTAATAATTAGCTTAAGAAGTTATTGTTATCATTTCACTAAACATTAAGAAGAATGAGTTCATGCAAAAAATTAATATACATAGGTCAGACCTCTCTAGAAGAGGTTGAAAAAATTCTGTAACCAGCAAAGGGGAATATTTACATAATATATATTTTATTATTGTTTACAAATTGCTAAATCTCTTTAATTCTTATGCACACACATCAATTCACTTGAGCTCATCGACCTTGTCCTTCCCAGTGTCCCCTTTCTGCTTTTGACCCCTTCTTCCAACGTGCCTGACTTGTGCTTGCTCCATGTCCTGTTATGTCCCCCATTCCCAGGAATGTGCTGTCACTCCAGAAAGTGAGAATCTCACTCTGTCATCTTCGGGGGCTGTTGACCAGTCATCCTGCACAGGGACACCACTGTCTTCCACGATTTCCTCCCCCGAAGGTACATAAGGGAGGAGCTGCGTGTGTCCCCCACTTAGTCCACAGCTGTCCATCTTATATTTGCAAAAGAAACATTTAATATTCTAGAATTCTCTGATTAACTACTGGAGAAATGTCTCTGCTTAGCTGACTCTATTTGGCACTTGCTGAAAGTCTCCACCATCAGGGTACAATACTCTGTTTTCGGTACATTTAATAAAGAGCCATAGATCTATTTGCTTATTACTCACTCCTATATATATTACTTGTTATTTCTGGTTAATAATTCAAGTCTGAGGATGGCTCCAAATTGCTGTCCTCTGCACTCCAATATATTAAATTTTTCCTAATCCTTTCACTGTCAAAATAACATTTAAAAATTTATTAGTTATTGATGGACTTTTATTCATTTATTTATTTATATGTGATGCTGAAAATTGAACCCAGTGCCACACATGCTAGACAAGTGCTCTACCACTAAGCCCCAACCCCAGCCCCTCAAAATAACATTTTTATAATCGTGTGAAGTGAGGAAGTAGCTGAAAGTTTGATGTATTAAGTCTTTGCTTTGTATGTTATTTTGAACTGTATGCTACCTATGCTGGTTTCTTAATTTACTTCAACGTGTACTCAAAATAAATTTATCTAAGACATTTTACTTTAATACACCTAAAAGCTACCTTTCACCTATAATACCTTCTTCCTATTCTTTGTTCCTTCATATTATCGTTTCTTTTGAAGTATTCTTCCCTGAGTTTTTTTGATATTCAGGATTGAACCCAGGGGCACTCCACTATTGAGCAATATCCCTTTCCCCTTTTAAGATTTTATTTTGGGACAGGATCTCCTTAAACTGCCCAGACTAGCCTTAGACTTATAATTCAGTTCTGCTTCAGCCTCCAGAGTAGATGGTATTACAAGCATGTACCACTGAGCACAGCTCCTCTATGATTTTCTAAAACTGCAAATCTGATCTTATAATTATTCTTGCTTAAGATCCTTTTAAGACAAAATCCAAAACCCTTAATGTTGCTTAAAAAGTCCTGTACAATACAGATTCTCCTGAACTCTCCCAGTTTATCTTAGTCTACCTTCTCCCACCCTCTCCAGCTACACTGACACTTTGTGGTCTTTGCACAGTGGTTTGCTTTCCCTGAATCATTTTTGTCTTTACCACAGAGCTCAGTTGGCGCTTATTCTTTTTTTTTTTTAGTACCAGGGATTAAACCTAGAGGTGCTTCTTAAGCACTGAACCACATCCCCAGCTCCTCCCCCTTTTTTCTTTTTTTTTTTCTTTTTTTAAGATAAGACAGAATCTTACTAATTGTGATCTTCCTGCCTCAGCCTCCTGAGCTGCTTCGATTACAGGTGGGTGCCACCATGCCCAGCAAAGCTTATTCATTTTTAAGATTTGAGCTCAATGTCACTTCCGTAAGGAAGCCTGCCTCAGGATCAGTTTCTTCTGGTTTATGTTTTTACAATAGCTCCTTCTTCTTCTGTTTTTTAGGGCTTAATTTTATAATTACACACTTATGTAAATTATATACTATGGGCTAGTTTTTGTTAGAAAACTGGAAATCCATGAAGGCAGGGTCTATGTTTTGCTTACCATTTAAATATCAGTCCTTAATTAGCATAATTCTTGACTCAATATGTACACAGAGGTAATTTATAGGGGATATAACCAATTTAATTGACAGGCTTGCTGAATGTCTTTTTAAAAATATTATTTAGTTGTAGATGGATACAATACCTTTATTTTATTTATTTATTTTTATGTGGTACTGAGGATCAAACCCAGTGCCTTACACTTGCTAGGCAAACGCTCTGCCACTGAGCTATAACCCCAGCACAAGCTGATGTCTTTTAATGTTTTTTTTTTTTTTTTTTTTTTTTAATTCCTAAGAAATGAAAGGAGTCACACTTGGAAATTAGAAGTTCAAACTTTAAAACACTGCAGAAACATGGAACAAAGTCACCTTGAGAAGCAAAGATCTATGTAGAATTAGGTGTTTAAAAATCTTGGTTATTATTTGGTAGACAAGTCACTTAACACCCTTAAATCTAAATTTCCTCATTTATAAAACAGAAAATAGAATTAGTCCTTCCCAGCTCATATAATTATTGTGAGGACCACAAAGAGAAAGAATGATAAACTGTAAAACACTAAACAAATGTTATCTAGTATAGTTATTACTGAATAAATGAGGCACTGGAGAGGTGCATCTGCAGGTAAGACTCATAAATTTAAGCAATATACAAAAGATAAACCTGAATCAAGTTAACAATTGAATTTCCTAAGGTTTGCTACTACTTAGCATTCTTTTTTAGGGAAGAAAAGATAAAAGATGATTTTTTTCTTTTTTGATAAAACATTTTCCTGATGTTAAAGAAATATATTGCAAAACCAAGTAAATCCTATCCAGTTAAAATTTTGGGCAATGATGAGATGGGAAAAGCTACTATTTACTGAGTTATATATGGAGAGCTATCTGTTCAAAGTTACACATGTAGTCATGTGCTGCATCACGAGGTTTTGGTCAATGACAGACCACATGTATGATAGTAGTCCCATAAGATTATAATGAAGCTATAAAATTTGTATTGCCTGGTGACATCATGGCCTTAGCAAAGTCATATTTGTGGTTATGCTAGTGTAAACAAACATACTGTGCTGCCAGTTATATAAAATTATAACCCATACAATTATGTATAGTACATAATTCTTAATAATGATAATAAATGACTATGCTACTAGTTTATATAATTATTATACTATTCTTTTTAGCCTTATTTTAGAGTGTATTTCCTTATACTTATTAAAAAATAAAGGTTTACTGTAACACAGTATATCACATTGTCCTCCCAGCAGCCTCATACAGCCTATGTTCTCCTTGTCCTGATTACATCAAGAGGCGGTGCAGAGTGATTGACCCAGACCATTTAGGTTTGTGTAGCACATTCTATGATGCTTGCATAACCCCAAAATCACCTAGGGACAAATTTCTCAGAACATATCCCCATCATTAGGCAATACATGACTATATATAAATACTCATTTAATCCTCTTAAAAATTTGATCAGGTAAATACTTATTATTATAATCTTCATTCTGCAGACAGAGAAATAGAGTACAAAAGGGTTAGATAAACTTGTCCAAGATTACACAAATTCAGAACAGGATTTACTCTGGCTCCAGAATTCACACCGAACTATTTTCAACTTACTACATTAAACAGTTCTGATTTCTCAAGGTCTCCATAAAATGTTGTTGATTGAATCAAATATTCACTTGCCAAATACAAAGAAGGCAATTTCCAAAACTGAGGGATGGAAATAAGCAAATGAAGGCTTTACAATTTTAATCTTATAGACTTAAAATAGACTATATTCTTTCTCCTTTTAATACTCTAACTACATTCTGATTTTAGAAAATGCGGTCAAAATAAAAATTGGTTGTATACACTGACCAGGATATGATCCACTCGGTCTCTTTTCTTTCTTCCAAATTTCATCATTTTCTGCCAATCAGTTTTGTGGTTTGGCTCCTTTTTGAGACTAAACAACTTGAGTACTTCAGTTGTTATGAAGTTCTGCAGAAACAAAGGAATGAATGAAACAAGAACAACAAAATTCCTGAGATTTATGTGTTTACAATGCAGTGGACAAATTTGTAGTTAGATTACAATATTTATGACAAAGGATCACAAATTTCTTCCACTTACAGTTCCACTTAGAAATTTAAAGGGAAAAGCATCCTAAATGCTCAGATTTTATTCACTTAAAATAATTTTTGTACCCAGGTGTGGAGGCCTGTGGTCTTGGTTACTCAGGAAACTGAGGCAGGAGGATCTCATGAGCCCAGGAGTTTGAGACCACCCTGGGCAACATAGTGAAACTCCATCTCAAGGGAAAAAAAAAGTTTTTGTTTTTTATACAAATATAAAATAAAACCCACTGAGAATCCATAAAGAAAAAAATTACTCCATAGTTCCCTTTGCCTAATTAGCTAATTCCCAGCTGATAAAACTACTAAAGAAAGTGTAAAATAAATATCTGAACTAGAAAAATTCTAAATAAATTTTTGCAAGCAATGTTTTATTAGAAAAAATGCAAGCTTTTATCTGGGATAGTTTATTTTGAAGCACCAAGATCTGAATATGTCACACTAAAAAGATTCTAATGAACACTTCAGTATGAGAAGCATAATTTTACTGTTAACAATACCTTAACTATCCACCTTAGACACTAAAATTAGTGGGCAGCATGCTAAATTGATGCACACAGTTTGCCGATGGCTAGCACATTACCTATCTTTATTTCAATTTGCTTTATTACAGTCAAAGTTGCTTCTGTTAAAAAACAATATTCTCACATATAGGTAGAAAATATCAATCAAAAATAAATAAAGGCATGAAAGGAAGATAAATAGAGGAGAGGAGACAGAAAAGGGTAGAGAGGAGGGAAGGAAAAGGGAGGCAAAATGGGATTGAAATCAAATTCCTTGCATATATTATTTTATCAAAATGAACCAAAATAAATGTATAATTAACATGCTCTAAACAAATTAAAAAATAAAATAGCAGCAAAACCCCACAATATTCTCAATTGGGGGAAGGACACTTTATGAATCAGAATTATCTGAGAAGATTCTTGAACTACCTATTGTGTCCCCAAACCCCATCTTTCTCTGCCTACACACAGACACATACACAGTACATTAAAGAATTTATCCACTGTGGAAGGGTGGAAGAAATGGAGCATGCAAGTGTGTTTTGAAAAAAACTACTTACTTTAATCTAAGTCAAGGGCTGGCAAATTTTTTTCTATAAAGGAGTGGATGAATGGAAATAGTTCAGGTTTTTGTGGACCATGCGTTTTTTTTTAAACGTTATTGTGTTTTTGAATACTTTTTTTAAAAAATTTATTTATATGTGGTACTCAGGATCAAACCCAATGTCTTACACATGCTAGGCAAATGCTCTACCATTGAGCTACAACTGTAGCCTCCCATGTGGTCTTTGTTACAACTACTCAACTCCCCCAGTGTGCCAACAAAGCAACCCCAGATAATATGTAAATAAATGGGCATGGCTGTGGTCCACCAAATATTTACAAAAAGACAGTGAGCTTGGGTTTAGTCCAAGGGTCACAGTTTGCCAACTCATGAGGTAAACATACATCTCATAAATATCTATTGGTGTTCTGTCAGTATGTAGTATTTTTAAAAGGCTTTCTATTTCTAGCCTGGGAAACACAACTCTAAATTCTTGCTACTTGGGCAGTGGTAGGGTTATGCAGTGGTAAGGCTCTTGCCCAGCATGCTGAGGCCCTGGGTTCCATCCACTGCACTGCAGGATGTAGAGGGGGTGGTGTTTGTTACTTCAGAATGGTACTAGAACCAATAGCAGTATCACTTGGGAGCTCGGGTTAAAAAGAATTTCAGCTCCTAACTCGGACCTATTTATTGAATAAGAATGTCCATTTTCACAAGATCCCCAGATGATGCGATGCTTGTTACAGTGGGAGAAGCACTGCTCTGGAAATGAAACCTTTGCTGAATTAAGGAAACATGAATAGACAGAGTGAATGCCACCATGTGACTACAAAATTTTTAAGTCCTTATAGCTTTTGAACACTCGATTTTTTCAAAGGTTTCTAAAGTAACAAAATTTCTAAATATCATGTTATGATCCTTGGATCCTTCCTATTTGAAATCCACATTACCAACTAGAAATCTCTAAAAATCAAAGATGGAAAAGTAACATATGTATCCAGGGCTGGCATGTTTTCGTATGTATTTTTAGAACCTTATGCCTATCACTAAATTTCCAAAATATTCACCTAAAAACACACATGAGTTGCAATAATTTATCTCCCTAGGTATTTCTTAATTTTTCCTTAAATATCATAAATTGTGGCATATATATAATAAAGATGACCACCAAGTTTACAAAAGTTTGGCTCCAGAATTCACAATGAACTCTTTTCAACTTACTATATTAATAGTTTTGATTAGGGTTGATTAGATATAGGGTTCTTTTTGGGCCCGTTGTTTACAGAATCAATGAATTAACAAATATTTACTGAACACCCTCTATAGGACAGACCCTGAGAACATAAAGGTGAATAGTGTACAACAGTGCCTGCTTTTACAGCATTTATAGAGTTTGTATAAATGAAATCAAATAGAAAAGGAGGTATTTTATAATTTGCAGCTTACCTTGATTTCCTTCAGGTTATTTGGATTTTTCACTCGTCGGAAATAACTAGAGTTGATTCTACATGGCTTCATCCAGACAGGTTGATTCAAGTTGGGATCCTCAGCAAATATTTCCTCAAAAATTTCTTTTGTTAAATCAAAAACCGCCTTGATAGAGAAAGATTAAACAAAATGACTAAGAATCCGCATTATAGTGGGTGAGATGTTTAAAAGTTAAAGTCGTCCTTCCATGTTACATACCTGTTTATAGACCCTTTTACTAGTACTTTCTAGATCCAGCCCCTTATTGGCACAGCCAAGCAGTTTTGTAGGAATACTAATGCTGTGAAGGTCATGGCCTAATTCTTTCCATTTCCAAAGTTCTTCTGCTGCATCATGTACAAGAATTTCTACTTCCTCTGCAGTATGTGGGACTGCCAATAATGTTTCACATGGCTTCTGGGGTGGCCTTTTAGGTTCTGCCATTAAAGGTACAATTGTTTCTTCTGTCTTATTTTTTTGGATCTTATGAGAAGAGCTCAATCCAAAATCTTCATCAAACCAGTCTTGATCATCTCCTAAAGCACTCAGGAACTCCCGACTGATCTCAAGTTCAGCAAGTCTCTTAGCGAGCTCTTCCTGCCCACTGGCACCAAACACTGGGCTCTCCTATAGATATAGAATCATTCAAATAGGGGACTATTTAGTGATTCTGATTTCTTAACAAGTTTTTAAGATAAAGTATATCTTTAATATTTCTCTATAAGCAAAATTAAACAATATGGTAGCTACTAGTTAACAAGAAAGACTTACCGTTCCCACTAATATGCTTACATAGACTTATCCAATTTATAATAAAACTTTTGTTGATTCATTTTTTTGTTTTGTTTTGTTTTTTGGGATATCATTATTCCATTTCTGAAGGACTATCTCTGGGATAGAGAAATGGAATATAAAAACTTCTCACCTTTGGTGATTATCTGGCTCAAGTTACTCAAAACCATTACTTTTGCTCAACTGTTGTCTATGGGTAACCTAAACAAATTGATGGCCTGGGTATATGTCATAGTGGATATATTTCAGTTTTAACAGAATCAGCATCACAACTGGTAATCTCTGCAGGGCAACCATGACTGAGTAGTCATGTAAACAATTTCACAGGTGAAAAAAAAATTGCACTGACAAGAACCATTAGAAAGTTCCATAGGATAAATATTTTCAGTGAACTCAGAAGGGATCCAGTTGTGGACAGTATGCAGGGGCTGTCAACCCAGCAGTTTGAATGGATGTTTTGTTCCCATAAACTTGGCAGGGCCTGTGACAACCCTATAGTGACTACTCATGACATAACAGAGGACAATTATACTTCAAACAGAAAAATAGCTACATGGCCTTTAAAAAGTAGCATATCATCTTTATCTAATGGACAGCATATCAGAACAAAATCTATCTGGAGTCAAAGAATTAAGACGTACCACACAGGCAAGGTAAATTGACATTTTTCTAGATGAAATACTTACAGGTCTGGGACACATATCTGGAGAGGAGATCTCTTCTTTCTCGTCTTCTAATTCAGACCTTAAGAAGCAATTTGGAACACTGGGTGACTCTTCCTCAAGACTGTGGGACGGGTCCTGGGATGATACTTTCTTTTGGTCATCATCAAGAAACCCCTGATTACTCAGCTGAATTTTCTCATTTCTGGCTTTCTTGATTTGTTGTAGCTGACTGACTGTGTCCTTCACAAAGTCTTTCAGTAAACTGTCTGTCAGTAAGCTGACTGTCACTAGTTGTTGCTTTGACTTCTTTTCCTCACTCAGTGATGATTTCAGCTGGGCTTCTAATTGGTTTTTTTCTTTTGTTAGAAGGTCTAGAAGTGGAGTAGAAAGCTTCTCTGAAACTTCGGAATATAGGTTCTCTTCCTTTTCTGTAAACTGCTGTTGTTTATTCAATTCTTCAGAAAAGGTATTATCTGAAGTATCATCTTCTGCAGTGATGGAAACCTTTCCTGTGGCATCAGAAACAAGGTCTTTGTTTTCCTTTGAAGAAATCAGTGAATCTGCTGAAGTTTGCTGATGAACATGGGCTTCAAGTACCCCAGAAATGTCCTGTGTATTGTCTGTTTCTACTTTAAGACTTCTCTCTCTGTTCACTGAGGCTTCTATATTGTGCATACTAGGTAGAGATTTCTCATAAAAACATCCAATTCCATCTTTTTCTATATCTTTTGAACCCTCTGTGTCTTTTTGTTCTTGACTATAGTTTTGATATTGTTCATTTGAATAAGAGTCTTCATCTTCATTTATGTCTATATAGTCATCAAAGTTTTCTAGAATATGAGATATTTTTTGAGGAGGAGCAAAAATACCATGTTTCTCTTTGCATACAAAATATACAATGCCATCATATGTTCCATTGTTATTTCCTTCAGGTTTATCCAACTCCACTCCAGCCCAAAATCCTTTAGCAAAACTAGTTTCACCTTTGAACCGAAGAGTTCCTGGTTGAACATTGCCAATCAACACCCTATCACCAATGTGGAAATCAAGTAACTCATCTGCAACAGAAACTGAAGCCAAGGAAGGGGCTTCAGTAACCTCCTGTTCATGTTTCACATCACTGCGTTCCTGACTTTTCATTAGCTCAGTAGGGGACTTAAGTTCTAACAGTCTTTCAGAATGAACATTGCTATGAATGGAAAGGCTTTTCCCACTTAGGCACTCACTGATTTCATCATCACTACCAAAGCCACTGACTCTACTTTTAGAGCTCCTTGTTGGCTGTGACTTATCTCCGCAAGACTGAGAGTCTTTCCTGAGTGACAACAAAGATGACTTTTCAGAGTCACCTTTGTACAATTCAGCTGAAATTTCTTTCTTGAAAGAAGACACTTCAAAATCTTCAGAGTATGACGAGTCTTTTAGAGCAAAATGATGTTCTGACAAGGACAAGTTCTTTTCCTCTTTGTTCTTTTGCTCATGAATGTCTTCTCCTGACTGCATGTCTGCAATGTGATCCATATCTTGATCTGAGTTTCTCTCTTTTAACATTTCCTCTTTTTTATGAAGATTTTCAATGGATAATCTAACTAAATCTTTCTGAACATTTGCAGAATCTAAAGGAAAATCTTTCTTTGAAACAGTTTCAGATGAGTCTTCCTGTTTCAGGTCTAGTTTCAGCAGGACATCAGATTTTCCAGACAGTTTTGAATAGGCACCTTCAATCTCACTCTCCTCCAATTTTGCATATTCTACTTCTTTTATTTCTGATTTTTGATTAGATTCTTCAACCTTGGCACCCAACACATCAAGAATTATATTAGAGGCATTCAATTCCTTAAGCAGAGGTAATGAAAGTATATTTTCTAAAGAATCTCCAGATTCTGCCCTGGTTTTCCTTGATGATCTGAGAATTAGAGATGGGGTCTGCAAATGTTCTTCAGTTCGACTATCCAATTCAATCATTCTCTTTGCATATGAAGATAAAGACTTTTCTGATACTGATCTCTCAGAACCTGACAATGAAGCATCTTAAAGAAAAAAAAAATCACCACATCAAAAGTATTTAATCACAATCTATTGATTTCTAAGACCAAACTGAATAAATGCCAAATCTTGGTGAAGAAAAACTCTGGTCAATAACTATGACCTGTTTTGTTTACCATATACAAGAACATACTATTACATATGTTCTTGTATATGGTAAACATGAATATAATATATAGAACATTTAAAAATGTTTTAAAGTTTGGAATAATTTCTTCAGTGTTGTATTATAAAGTGAATAAAATGGAGCTAAGTTTACGCAGCCATTGCTTTGTACAATCATTCTCAAATCATGGAAAAACAAGATTGTATGACGGATATTAAACACATTCTTTGAATAGAAAAATAAGGAGGAAGATATTTCCTAAAAGAATAAATTTCCCTGGAGAGTAATTAAGCTCTTGAATTAAATTAAAAAATAAAAAGAAAGAATATTTCTGCAAATATAGCACTAAAGAGCCAAATTTGCAAAGTACTAGCAAGTAGGACAATTAAGATCAAGAAAACAAAACACAACACAACAAAAACCAAAGGCTAAGGTAGGAGGATCACTTGAGCCCAGGAGTTCAAGACCAGACTGAGCAACATAGCAAGTTCTTTTAATAAATAAATAATCAAAAATTTAAGATGCTATAAAATGTATTTAAGAAATTCACTTTTCAATGAAAAAGTTGTACAGGTAGAATTTCACAAGACTTTGCACAAATCCTTAGACTATGTAGACACAACTTATTTTCTCTAGTCACATACCAACATGTTCAGCAATGGATTCCAAGGATCCTCTGGAACGTTCTGGTTCTGTTAGTGATTTCCAGGTTTTTGCTGTTTCAGATCTGAAGTGGAAAAATTAATGAGCAGAAATAAATATACTGCTGATACTGTAATAAATGACAATCAAAAGCAGACATTCTTAGACAACTATTTCTTTCCTCTTCTCCACAGACCATTTTCATTGTGTCTACTTTTGGCATTTGTTACTCTGAGTAGATCTTGTTCTTTTTTCTACCTATGAATTTATATTCACAACCATCCCAGCTGCCTTTCTTTCTGTCTGCAGAGAGGAAAAAAATGTGTCTCTCACTTGTCCAAAGCTAAATTGTTCACAGCCTCATGGATGGTACTTCTCAATTATCTACTCTATTTACTATCATCTTTAATAGAGTCCCTCCTACTTTTTCTTCAATGCTAGGGATTGAACCCAGGACTTGCACATGCTAGGCAAGTGCTCTACTTTTACTACAATCTTTAGTTTTCTACCTGGAGAACTTTTTTTCTCTTCCTCAGGTTATAAATATTGCTAATGTCTCAAAAACAAAAACAAAAACCCCCAAAACATTTTCCTCTTCGATTCTTCACTTATTCACCCTGTTACGGCCCTCTCTTATTTATTTTTTTGAGAGAGAGAGGGGGGGGGGAATTGTTTAATATTTATTTTTTTAGTTTTTGGTGGACATAACATCTTTTTTATTTTTATGTGGTGCTGAGGATCGAACCCAGCACCCCATGCATGCCAGGCGAGCACATTACCGCTTGAGCCACATCCCCAGCCCCCCTCTCTTATTTTTTATAGTTAACAGGAAGGGCTATATTTACTGTCTTCATTTTCCTGATTCCTCCTTTTCCTTTGTTAAACCATAATATTTGACTTTTGCTTCCTACCTCCTAATAATGCCCTTAAATGCTGCTATTTATCAAATTCAGTTCTTCGATATCTTTTATTCTCTCTGAATGCATACCTTCCCGGGTTCAATCACCATATATACCTACTGATTATCCTCATATTTTTAACCACAACTTTCTTGGAAAATTCCACTTATATGAACCACAACATCTCAAAATTAATATTTAAGGCCCAAATCATTAACTTCTCACAAAAAGCTTTTCCATTTAGGTTAGTGGAACCTTGACCCAACTGACAAAGAGAAATGTGGGAATCATCCCAGATTTCCTCTGCTTCCTCATCCAGCACTTTAATGACTCATGTCTACTTCTTAAATATTCCTAAAATGTATCTCCGATTTTCTATTCTTATTTCTGCTGCTTATTTTAGGCCTGGCTTAGATTGCTTTTCTTCTGCCTTCTGAGCTTACTCTGTTTATCATTCCTCCATACTACAAACAGAAAAAGCTCTTAAAGTCTTTCTTTGTCTCTACCTTTCTACCCACCCCCTCTTCTTCCTTTTGTACTGGGGATTAAATTGAGGCCCTCCACATGCTAATAAGCCCAAGCCCTACCATTGAGCTATGCCCCCCAACTTATAAATAAAATTTGTAGCAGTTTGATTAAGAAAACTATGGTGCTGAGGGTATAGTTTAAAGGTAGAAAGCACTTGCCTAGCATGTACAAAGCTCTGGGTTAAATCTCTAGCACCACCAAACCAACCAACCAAACAACCAAAAAAACAAAACAAAAAAAGCAAGAAAACTATAAAGCCATTTCAATATTTTTACTATATAGAAATTAAAATAAAACATTTATAGTAAAATGAAAAAATGCATAGGTAACAAAAATACACACAAAATGTATAAAAAAAATTTGGAAGGAAATACACTTAATTGTTCATATTTGCTATTTTGATATAGCTGGGTATGATGATTTAAACTTTTTTATTGCTTCCCTAGATATTCTAATAATAAAGATAATATCAGCATTTAATACATAATGCTTTTTATGTTATAGGCCCTATCTTAAGTTAAATATTTTAACTCTAATAACAAGTATATTAAGCACCTCTGTTTAATAGGGATATAAACTATTAAAAAACTGAAGCACAGAGAGGTTAAATAATTTGTCCAAAGTTAAATAGCCAGCTGGTAGAGGAATCTCAGATATGCTAAATTAATTGTAAATGGGCATGTATTTCTTTTGTAAAAATAACAAAAAATATCAGAAAGTAATTTTTAATACAACCTTCAAAGGCTCCACATCTTCTAAAAAGATGAGTGAGTGAAAGGCTTTTCTAATTTGGTTTTTACTTATTTTTTCAGTCTCTTGTGCTAATTTTAACAAAATCTTATTGTGATTGGCTTCTATGATATGCCGATCTCTCTCTCTTTTTTTTTTTTTTTGCTTTTGATAATTCACAAATGCCTTCTCTTTTAAATGTTCCCATTTCTTAGTAGTACTGGTTTGCCTAATCCTTGCTGTTCAAAAAATTTAGTTTAAATATTATAACCTAACTTTAATTCACTAAAATGTATATTGTATATTCTAATGTTGTATATGTTCCAGTGTTGCTACTTAGTATTTTTTGTATTTACTTCCTGGCTGAATCATATTTTATCACCTGCACAGAACCATTATCTACTAAGCTATTCATTCATTTTTAAAAAAAAAAAATATTGTTTATTTGTTAATGGATCTTTATTTATATGTGGTACTGAGAATTGAACTCAGTGCCTCACACATGCCAGGTAAGTGCTCTACCACTGAGCCCTTATCTATTCTTATATATATAAAGATTGTTTCCAATGTTTTATGACTATAAAAGACATTATGGCAAAAATATCCATGCATATAGAGATTTTTGGTACTCCATATTTTAACAAGCTAATTTTCCAAAAGAAGGATCACAGGGTCAAAAGTTACAAATTGTTTTTGACTTCTAAAACATTGCCAAATTGTTTTTCAAAATATCTATACCAACTTTTGATACTAGTACTAACAATACTTGAGAGAAAACTATTTTCATTATACCCATCAGACTGCAGGATAAAACATATTTAAAAAATCTATACCTTATTAGAAAATTAATTTGCACTTGTCATACAAAACATCTTTACTTTAGTGATGCTAAAAATATAAAACAATACTTTTATACTTAGAAGATAACTTCTACTAAAATCTTTCCTTATTCTTTCTCAAACCAGGCAGACTAGATAAGTTATCATAAATTCCTACCTGTGTAGTGGGAGGGGCTTGATCTTGGGTTTTTCAGAAGCTGAGGAGAGCGTTTTAATCTGAGGTTTGGCTGTTGGTGATGTTTCCAAATCTCGGCTAAGCTCTGCTTCAGTTTTCTTAATAAATTCATCATATGACTAAGTTTAGAAAAATCAGAGGAGTTACTATGCAGAATTTTTTTAAAAAAAGGTTTTATATTATAAAATAGTACATTAAAAAACTTAAATGGCATAATTTAAATGTTCAGCCAGTAAATAAGATTTCACATAAAATCTCCCTTCCTGCCCTCTGGGTTTGATCACCAGCAACGCTCTCTCTCAACCCCCAAAAAGGAATAGTAGTCTCAATCCACACAAGTTCGATCCCCATGAAGCAAAATTCATACCCTGCCACATTAAAAATTTATTTAACTTTCACATCTAAGGGGAGACCTCCAACTATTAAACCTTTCCTTCATTTTCTTGGCTAAAATCCTTACTTTTATAATTCTCATTTTTTGAGAAAATTGCTGTTTTGTTCAACACAGCAGATCCAGCCTTCTGAGCAGCTTGTATTACAGGTGTGTGCCACCATATCCAGCTCATCTTTATTTAAAAAAATTGTTTCCCACTATTTCCTAACAAGAACTCTCCACTATGGTCACTATATCTTAATCACTTTTCCTACTTTTAAAAGTATGTACAAATTGCTATGTCTGTCCTATCATTATATTGTATATACACTGTGAAAATATTTATTTTCTCCAGATTGGTTAACTGGTCTATTTTCTGTGTGGAAGATAGTATAAAGTTAAGAGAATTTAGAATTAGGGATAGATTAAAATGCTAGCTTTACTACCTATGACATACGTGTCCTTGGATAAATCACTAATTTTACTGAAAACTCAGTTTCCTTATGTGTAAAGCAGTGATAATATCCCTCCCTTGTTGCTGTGAGGATTAAATAAAAATATGTGTAAATAGCTAAGTTCCTGGCACTCAAATAGATACTTCAATTTGATGATTAAATTAGTAAATGCCAGAGGCACAGGTGTTACAAAGGACCAATAAAAGCACAGAAATTTTGGCTAAAGTAACTGAGCTTCTAACACTTAAAGAGCATTAAGTGTGAAACCAACTGCCTTAAAAACTTGAAATCTATTATTATTGGTCATATTCAGGTAGAAGCTGGATGATAACCTTGTCTGATGATGACATGGGAAAGGACTCTTGTGATGAGTAAGAGGTTCAGAATGATTCTATAATGAACACTGTGATTTATTATCTTATCACTAAGCTTATTTATTAGCTTATCACTAAGCTTGCAGAATGTTTAATAGAGAATTAGCCACAAACAGGAACATCTAAGAGAATATGCATACTGGAGGTAAGAGGTCATAAGAGCCCCAACTAGCACAACAGCAGTAGGAATGGAAAGGAACAAGCAAGGAACTTTAAAAAAGAAAAATTAATGGAAAATGGACTAAAGGAAGAGGAGAAAACAGAATGAGGAAGATAATAAAAACCAGGTTTCCAGCCTGGGGGACAGAATCAGAAAGGTTCCTAGAAATAGGGGGGGAAGTCAAACTTAGGAGTCATGCAAACAGCACAGTTATCACAGTTATGTGGCATGAAGCACTACTCTGCTTAAAAAAAAAAAAAAAAAAAGCAGAAACAATTCAATTACCTAGAATTACTTATCTACCATTATTAATGATTCTTCATTTAAGAGAACATGGATACCAATCTTGCATAAGCCTAATCATTCAGAAAATTTTTATTTGAATATTTTAATACTCAACATTTTAATATTTAATGTTTGAAGCAAAAATATGCTTAGAAATCTTCAGATTTTTAAAAAAGAGGATAAAATGTACCACTACATTAATATAAAAAAAATTTTAATCCTTTAACTTTTGAACAACATTAAAAACATTTTGGGCTTTACATGTACATTAACCTTGATATTTAATATTCTTTCTAGTTGTATATGGACACAATACCTTTATTTTATCCATTTATTTTTATGTGGTACTAATGATCGAACCATCGAACCCAGTGCTCCCCACGTGCTAGGCAAGGCCTCTCCCACTGAGCCCCAACCCCAGCACTAACTCCCTTTTTCTAATGTCTAACCTCTAACTGTTTGATCAGACTGGCTTCTTGGGCTTTCAGTCTTTCCTTTTGTCTTTTTTTCTGTTCCTTCTTCAACTGGTCCACAACTGATTTTCTTTTCCGCAGCTCATCCTTTAGAGCTCTGATTCTGCCTTCAATGTCACTCTGATCAGATGTAGTTTCTGAAAGAAATGCAAAATCTTCAGTTTTGACTAAAGAATAGTTAACTTAGTAACCACTAATGAAAAGCTGTAATATAATACTTCATTTAAATGGTCAATCTAATACATAAAATTTAGAAATTTGAGCTTCTAAAAAATTTAATAAATGATTCCTTTATTTTCCATAAGTTCTTTTTTTCTTAGTTCTTCCTATTGATTTTCACTTTCTAATTGTACTATTTTACTATCTGAAATTATAAGTAAATCTTGAGGTATGAAGTAAATCTTGGTAAGATATGTAGCTGAAGTTGAAAATTTTTAGGTTAGAAATTTGTAGATTCTACAAGGAATTATTTCTGTTGATAAGGTAATCATATTTTACTACCCATTTCCTTAATTATTAACATATAGTTTTTTTTTGGGGGGGGCAACAGGGATTCAACTCAGGGGCAGTCTGACCACTAAGCTACATCCCCAGTCCTATTTTGAATTTTATTTTGAGACAGGGTCTCACTGAGTTGCCTAGCACCTTGCTTTTTGCTAAGGCTGGTTTTGAACTTGCAATCCTCCTGTCTCAGCCTCCCGTGCAGCTGGGATTACAGGTGTGTGCCACCACACCCAGCTAGTTTAATATTTTTAAAGTTGTATTAAACCCACTGGAATTTTATCTTAATACCACATTCTTTGAAAGTTCTTAAAATATCTAAAATTACTGAAATGAAGCTGGCTAAATCTTGTTTTCTCCCCAATAGTACATACATACACATGAGATAACCAGTCATGGTAATATCATGAAAAAGCCATGTGTCATACGCATGCCATGAAAACAAACAGATATCATTTAAAAACACTGCTTATTCCACTTGACATGGAAATTACATAATATAAAAATGATTGTTCCTCACACCTCCTGGAACCATACAATGACGTCATTTCCACACACTAATGTTGAGTGAGATGTTTAACAACCTTAGAACAGAAATACTATTATATACAAATCTGAAGACTCAGTACAACATTGCATTACAAACCAGATTTTTACCAGGAACCTCATATTAAATTGTATAAGAACTAGCTATGCTTTTAAGTCCTCTGGGTATAGACCAATGAGTGAAATAGTTGGGTCAAATGATGGTTCCATTCCAAGTTTTCTAAGGAGTCTCCATACTGCTTTCCAGAGTGGTTGCACCAATTTGCAGTGCCAGCAGCAATGTAGTGAGATGAAATCTTGGAGTAGTTTTGATTTGCATTTCTCTAATTACTAGAGATGTTGAACATTTCTTCAAATATTTGTTGATCAATTGTATATCTTCTCCTGAGAAGTGTCAGTTCAATTCCTTTACTCATTTATTGATTTGGTTAATTCATTCTAATGCAAAAGATTATAGTCCCTTTTAAAAAATTTTATTTTAGATGTTGATGAACGTTTATTTTATTCATTTATTTATATGCGCTGCTGAGAATTGAACCCAATGCCTCACACAGGCCAGGTAAGTGCTCTACCACTCAGTCACAACCCAGCCCCAAGATTATAGTCTTTTTAAAAAACAGTGTGATCTAAATACCTGGGCTAGAAATAACAAAATCTGAGTTCCTGTCATTTCCATGACACTGACTTGAGGTGGATTAGGAAATTTCTACCTGTCTCATACCAGCAGTAGCATTATACTGAGTCTTTATCGTGGGCAAAGTTCACTGATTGTTGATTGACACTCTTTAAAAAATGAAGTAATGACAAAGACCATTTTTAAAGTCTGGATCCACTATCTAGGTGTTTCACCTGACCAATTTCTAGAACTGGTGTGACAATTAAATAAGGTACTTAGAACACGTGGCATAGTGCCTGAAATATTATAAAAACAAAACAATAAAAACAAAAAAGTTATCAGCCTAAGTGTCCATTATGGATAAATGTGCAATGAAAATGTGAATTATATAGAAAATGTAAGACTATTTAGCCTCAAAAAGGAAGGAAAATCCTGTCATTTGCAATACAGATAAACATGAAGGACATTATGTTAAGTGAAATAAGCCAGGCAGAAAGATAAATACCACAAGATCTCAATTATATGTGAAATCTAACCAAGTTGAACTCATAGAAGCAGAGAGCAGAATGCTGGTTACCAATGGATGGAGTGGGGCTAAGGAAATATTTGAAGAATATGAAATTTCAAGTGCTCACTTCGGCAGCACATACACTAAAACTGGAATGATAGAAGATAAGCATGGCACCTGTGCAAGGATAACATTCATATTTTAAAAAAAAAGAAACAAAGAATATGAAATTTCAGTAGACAGGAGAAATAAGTTCAAGAGATGATTACAGTTAATAACAATGTGAGTAGATTTTAAGTATTTTTATTACAATGACAACTATGTGAGGTCATGTACATGTTAATGAGCAGCATTCTTCAATATATGTTCAAAACTCCACATTGTACATGATGAATATTACAATTTTTTTTGCCAAAGTAACTTAAAAATATTTTTTAAATGGAGGTAGTAACATTATTAACACAAAACAAACATTTTTATGTAGCCATGTTTTGGGTAGTATATTTCTTGGCTTAAAACTAAAAACAGGTGATAAGGAGACAACAACTGATCATCTTCCTTCCTCAAGTTTTCTTTTAATTTCTGAAGGAAACGATTGACTGGTTTCAGCATTAAAATTTTCTGAGTGCTTAGTATTGGCTGGTTTTATACTGATTTAATTGATGATGCTAGTACAAGGGCTGGAAGACTGCAACTTGAGCTAAAAATGATAATCTAGGATAAAGTATAAACCCATAACTTTGGATCTCCTAAAACTGTGTGTTTGTTAGCCTGATATGAGTTGTGTGCTTCCAAACCTTTGGGGTGCTGCTTCATTAACTATTGTAGGAGACCATTACACTCTTACAGACTTAGTTTTAATTTTGCCCCCAAAATGATTATTTTAAATTAATATATTTAAAAAATTGTATAAGCCAACTTTGATTTTCTAATAAAAAATATTTTTTATGGTGTGAACACTCAATAGCAATTGATGAAAAACTTAGTTTTAAATAAATGACCTTGGGAAATGTTTGTATTTTCAAGTACTAACTAAATTTGTATTTTTAAGAGTCCATATAAAAGGCTACAAAAGTGACTGACAATACATTGTGATCTACCTAAATTTAGTATTGCAGCATAGTATTGACTGATTGATGGATTGACTGATTGTAGGTCGACAGCATGCCTTTATTTTATTTATTTTTATGTGGTGCTGAGGATTGAACCCAGTGCCTCACACATACAAGACATAGTGTTTTTTAAAAATAATCAATAACACCTAAGAGAATCTCTAAGAAAAAAAATAATTAACCCAAGCCAGCTCTCTAAATGATACTATGTTGTTTTTATGGAAATCTCTCTGTAAGATTTTTTGGGGAGGTAGAAGAAATGGGAAGTGGCAGGCAAATGATACTTTAGTTTGTTTAAACACATCAAGACAAAAATAATCTGCACAGAATAATTTGATTATTGCTCATATGCTAACTGTATTTACTTAGTTGATAACAAACTCTCCATCACTTAAGTAAAGGTGTTATATAACCCCACCACATTAAAGTTTATAAAGACTGTCTATAATTATTTCATCATGAAGAGGTAGAATGCACCTGTAGTTTAGAAATCTCAGAGCTATTTTTCTAAAATTAGTCTTACTTGGATAAGTTTTATCAATAAAATAGTATTTTACATATATTATCATTAATGCTTAGTACAGAACTTATTCAGGGTGGTTAGAACTTTATTCCATTGCTCCAGATAGAAACAGATAACCTGGTATGGAAAGAAAATTACAAGTAACAGATCCAAGATAAGAATCCATGTTTCCAAGTACATATCAAATTTGTCTACTGACATGTTATTCAACTAGCAATAACTATTCACCAGATATGTAAAATATATAAAAATATTAATAACTTTCCAAAGATAAATATGAAAGACAAGATTCTTCAACTGCTTGACCCAAACTGTTTTTTATAGATATATTAATTACAACATTATTTATATGTGTGTGTATATATATATATATAAAAATTACTAAATTATATATATGTATTAATTACTACACTATTTGCTAATGTGAAAAACTTGAGAAAATCTAACTGACCATCACTAGGAAAATATTTACAGTACATCTACCTTTTGAAATATTATGTAGATACTCAAAATAATTCAGGCGATCTACTGAATATGGATGTGAGGATGTGTCATGATTTACTATTGTCTAAAAACTTGGAAAATGAAAGCTCAGGATCAAAGACCCGTCCCTGCAAAGTTTTTCCCCCCAGTTTTTCCTTACTATTTTGTATGTCTATTCTCAAAATAAAACTAAAAATGAGCTCAAAAGGTAATATATTCATCATACCCATCAATATAATCAATGTAGTTATACTCAATACAATATTACTCTTCTTCATTTTATATAAACACAGCATTGTCTTTATATGCTTCCTGAGGTCAATGTACTCCTTGAAGTCTTCTAGAGTAAAGGTTGTTCATTCTTTTGTAATTATGCTACAGAGATTTGTGGGTGGAGGTTATGGGAAAACAGCACTCCCCATTGCCAATTTGCAATCTATTGTTTCTATTACCACCACCACCACCCTTTTTTTTAAGAACTGGGGAATGAACCCAGAAGTCTCTACCATTGAGCCACATACTCAGTCCTCTTTATTTTGAGACAGGATCTCTCACTAAATTGCTGAGGTTGGCCTTGAACTTGTGATCCTCTTGCCTCAGCCTCCGACTAATTGGGATCACCGGTGTGCATCACCACACCCAGCTATTTTCCTCAAATGAGACTTGTGCCACCCTGTTCCATCATGGTTACATTATTCAAGAAATATTTAATAAATACCTACCGCATGCGATGCAAGAGGTCCTGGCACTACAATTATTAATAAAATAGACTCTCATCTTCATGAATTCATACTCTAGTAGGGGAGACTGCTGAGCAACGGCTGATTACAATATGTGTTGTCTGGGATGACATGCTGAAGTACAGAGCATTATGGAAATATACAGGTAGTGCCTGACACAGAAAAAAACTGAACAAATGTTTGATGGAATAAATGTCCACTAATACAAGAGAATAAAAACAGTTTGTCATGTTTTGTGAAAACAGGGATATAATTATCAATGTCAAACAAGGAATTATATGATTTAATCTTGGCAAGTAAAAAAACCTTACAAATGCTACAAAGGATAAGAGTGTACTAGCATATGGTTAGACAAAATTTATGAAAGAGGAACTCCAATGTAGTACAAAGAAATCAAATTCCTTATAATTAGTCTTACCTGACTGTGTCATAGATAATGACTCATCTGACCAACTACAACAGTGTTGCTGGGATTTGGCAGGCAGACGACATATTCCTCCAGTCCTATGACTTCCTTTGCTAGACTCCTGTTTTGACACAGATGTGCAGCTTTTGTGAGGTGACTATATAAACAGAAAACCAAACAGAAATTATTTGTGATATGGATGTAGAATTCTATTTAAAATTTGAGATACCAGCCAATTAAAGTTAATATTTACAAATAATTTTATTGTATTTTTTTTACATTTTGTTTTTTAACTTTATTGAGGTGCAATTCTTAAACAATAAATATACAATTTGATACATTTTACATATGTACCCACCAGAAGCCATTGCCATGATCAAAATAATAAACATATCCATCCTATCCCCAAATTTTCTCATGCTCCTTTGTGATTTTCCTTTTTTACCCCTGCCCCATCTCCAGGCCGTCACTGATCTGCTTCCTGTCACTATAGTTCGTATTCTCCACAATGTTAGATAAATAAAATTATACTCATTTTTGTCTTATTTCCTTCACTCGGTATAATTATTTTGAGATTTGTCCATGTTGAAGCATGTATCAATTCATTCCAATTAATTATCCATTCACTATTAAAAGCATTCTTAAGTATTTGTGTGGACATATACATTATCAGTGCTCTAGGATAAATACCTAGGAGTTGAATGGATGGGTTATATGACATGTGCATGTTTAATTTTTAAAGGCATTGCTAAATGATCTCTAAAATGATTGTACTGGGACTGGGGTTGTGGCTCAGCAGTAGAGCGCTCACCTAGCACATGCGAGGCACTAGGTTCCTCAGACCACATACAAACAAACAAATAAATAAAGGTATTGTTTCCAACTACAGCTAAATTATATATTTTTTTAAAAAATGATTGTACCATTTACACTCCCACCAGCACTAGATGAGACTTCCAGTTGTTCCGTGCCATCATTAGTACTTGTATAATCAGTCTTACAAAGAGTTTTAAATAACTATGACATAAAAAGTTTACAAATTCTACAAATGGATTAAGACCTCAATTTCTCAAGATGGGGATATGGCTCAGTGGTACAGTGCCTGCTAGCACGCATAAGGCTCTGGATTCACTCCCCAGCATTGTTTAAAAAAAAACACAAAAAACAAAACCAACCAAACAAAAAAAACCCTTGATTTTTCCTATGCAGGGGTGGGGAAAGCAAGCTTTAAAAAAATTTATAATAAATTAGAAGTGCTTACTGTGATCGTTACCTTCCTTAATCTTTTAATTTAATCTAAAAATTTTATAATTTTATGGGAGGAAAGGAAAGGGGAAAAAAGAGCATAATAAGATTGTCCACAAAGACTATTACAAAAGATAAAATTTCTACTCTGACATCACACAGAAGTGAGAATGCCTGATTTGATTCCATGCTGTCACTTCCTACCCATCACTTTAGACAAGTTTCCTAGCCTGCTAATCTTCAGAGTAGGAATTATAATTGTGTCTATAGGATCATATGAGAATTAAATGAGATAATCCATGTAAAGCATTTAGTATGCTGTCTGGAACTAGTTAAATCACACTCAATAAATATTAGCTTTCAGTATAAAAAACACTTTGAGACACTACTAGTTTTAATTTCCTAGATACATTTTCCTGTGAGCAAAAAAAAAATTCATTTTTAATATTCAATAAGTTTGTAGCTATCATGAACCTCAATAATGATGCTGTATAGAATTGTGTCAAAATGCAGTTTGGTCGTAAATTCCTAGAAGGTAGGAAATATGCTATGAGTAAATTATCTATATAAGAAATCTATTAGTCATATTATAAATTTTAAAATGACCAACATGATAATTAATTAAAAGCTTTTAAATATGTGCCCAAGAATATTATAATACAGTATTTTCAACATAACAAGGAATTAGCTCTTCATTGAATAAAAATATTTTTCCTCCAAACCTTTCAGGTGCTATACAACATACATGAATCTAACTCATTTTTCAACAGGGGGCATGCAGATAATTCTTCACATCCATATTAAAAATGAAGATTCTAAAAAGGATATTCTATTTTTTAAAACTGATAGGCACTAACTATGTATATGTTTACTAAATATCTAATTGTTATGCTAATTTCTTTATACACTTTATAAAACCAAAAATATGCTTCTATCTTTTTCTTAAGAGAGAGAGAGACAGAGAATTTTTTAATATTTATTTTTTAGTTTTCGGTGGACACAACATCTTTATTTTTATTTTTTTTAATGTGGTGCTGAGGATCAAACCCAGTGCCCCGCACATGCCAGGCGAGCGCGCTACCGCTTGAGCCACATCCCCAGCCCAATATGTTTCTATCTTAATTTTTTTATCAGCCCCTTTTTCTTTGAAGTACAAAACTAAGGATAATACAGATAATCTAATTCTAATAAAGGCCATTATTCTAATTTAGAACCAATCATTTCAGATCTATTTTAAAGAGATGAAATCATTAATTTTATTCTGATTATGAGTTAGCAATTATTAGCTAAATTATAGTAAAGGCACTCCAGTATGATTTAAGATCTTATTATTTCTAAGACAAAAACCAGATTTTAGAAAGAACTTGTGCTGTTCTTACATATTATTTTTTTATAGACTTTAGAGGTTCCTATCCTTTCAAATATTAACAGACTTGACAGCATATAATTTTGTAACTGTCCCTAAAACTATAATTCATATATTTATAAATCTATAGGAGTAAATTAAAAGCTTTATTTCTATTCAAATGTTATATTCTATATACTGTAAGTATGGGTGATAGTCAATGCTGTTATTTTTTTCTTTAATACCTTTATTTCATTTATTTATTATGTGGTGCTGAGGACTGAACTCAGGGCCTCACATGTGCTAGGCAAGTGCTCTACCACTGAGCTACACCTCTAACTCCTCAATGCTGTTGTTAACAGGAATAATATAACTGTTAATAAAAACCTTTTAGTCAAGTTTCTTTTTAAAGGAGCTTTAAGATATATAGATATAGATACACACACACACACACACATATTAACTTACATGTTTACTAGGAGAAGTAGAAGATTCTAGTTCCTGTGAAAAAACCATTTCTTCAGTAAGTATACTGTGATCTGGACTCCCTGGCTGTTCCTGTACAATAGATTCAGATGGTATGTATATAACAGCAGGGCTACCCAATTCTTCTGGAATAGAGCTTTCACTGTTTAGATGAGAGGAGGAAGGTATTGGAGATTCCTCTTCGCTTGCTATTTCTAGAAAGAGAGGATACAACAAGAAAAAAATATATATAATCTTGGTCAGTAAAGAAATTAAACTGTTACATTTTACATTTGTTTTTAATATAAGATCACTACTAGCATGGGAAGCTTTATCATGCCATTTAACATTTACTATGAAGTCTGTCTGTTTAATTAGGAATTTTGGATGACACCAACTGAGAGAAATATCTACCACATATAATCAGCGTATCAGACAATGACAATCCAAGTATGAGGACGCAAGATAGATAGTCATGGCTCTCATGTATTCCTTTAGCAGTGAAAACTGGTCCGACCATTTTGGAAAATAATTTGGTATTGCTTGAAAAACATGAAAAAAAAAAAAAGATTTTTAAGGTCTGTAAAAATTCTTTTGGAGGGGCTGGGGATGTGGCTCAAGTGGTAGCATGCTCACCTTTAGCATGCATGAGGCACTGGGTTCGTTTCTCAGCACCACATAAAAATATTTTTTTTAGTTTATTTATTTTTTAGTTTCAGGTGTTTATTTATTTTTTAGTTTCAGGTGGATTTTTTAGTTTTTTAATCCACCTGAAACTAAAAAATAAATATTAAAAAATTCTTTGGGACCTAAAATCTACAAAATAAGTTTATTTAACATTAGGAATATCTATGCCTCAGATATTTTACTTTAACAAACAAGGATGACATGATGTATAAAAGCATTTCATTTAAAATTTTAAAGTTTTTATTTTTGGTGCTGCTGGTGATCAAACTCAGGGCCTTGTACATGCCAGTTAAGTATTCTACCTCTAAGCTACATACACCTCCAGCCCTAAAAGGTATTTTCTAATTATTGTGTATGTATATCATAATCAGAATGTTGGAATTAATGGTTTAGAAAATTGTATTAATTTTTAAGACAGGAGGGAATAGAATCCTTTACATTTCTACTTTGTAAATCTCAACATAGATATTTTTGTTTCATAATAGTGCTGCTTACACACTAATTTTAAAAATTAAAACAATATAAAAACTAAGGAAGAAAATGAAAGTCACCTGTATTACCTCCTCTAATCAGATATTTTTGTGGAAGACTTTTTTGTTGTCTTTTTCCTCAATTAAGAATATTTAATAGTAGTACAAGAATGGTAGTCCAAAAAAAAAAAAAAACCTTCAAAGCGCAAAAGGATGTAAAGTGACTACCTCACACTCATCCCTAACCAATTTCATCTTCCCAACTTCTATACCTCAAAGGTAAACCAGTAATGGCCAAGTTTGGTTGAAGTATATGTGTGTCTTTCTAACCCTTTTCTTACATTTCCTTGACTGTTTAAAAATAGTTTTTAAAATCTGTGTTAAAAATCACATAAAATTTACTACCTTAATCATTTTAAAGTTTATGTATGCTCAGTGGCATTAAGTACATCCCTCTCCAGAACTGCTTTATCTTTCTGAACTAAAACTCTGTAACAACTCCCCACCCTCCTGATCCTCAGTCCCTGGCAACCACCATTCTGCTTTTGGTCTCTTATGATTCTGATTACTCTAGGGACCCCATATAAGTGGATTCATATGCTCTTTGTCCTTTTGAAACTAGCTTATTTCACTTAGTGTAATGTCCTATAGGTTCATTCTTGTTGTAGCATGTGACAGAATCTTTCTTTTTATGGCTTAACAATATTCAATTGCATGTATTTACTATATTTTGCTCACTCATTTACCTGTCAATATACACAAAAGTTGCTTTCACCTTTTGGCTATTGTAATAATGCTGGTTATACAAATACCTCTTTGAGATGGCACTTTCAAATTTTTTTGATATATACCAGAAGTGAAATTGCTAAAACACATAACATTTTAATTCCTTTGAGGAACTGTCATACTGTTTTCACAGAAGCTATAATCATTTTACTTTTTCACTAGCTGTGCATAGGTGTTCCAATTTCTCCACATCCTCGCGAACATATTTGATCTTCTGTTTTTTTAATAGCCATCCTATGGATGTGAGGTGGTACCTCATTGTATACCTGACTTCTGAAGACAGAGTTACATGTCCATAGGAGTCTGGCAATATTTGGACACTTTTAAAGAAATATGGACAATTATTGGCCAAACTTCAGTGTTAATAGTCATGAACCACAAAGCAATGTTTCAGTCAATGACAGACTATACATATAACAGTAATTCCATAGATTATAGTAGAGTTTGAAAAATTCCTATCACCTAGTGATGTAATTGTTGTAAAGTCAGCATAATCCATTACCCATGTTTGTGGTGATACTGATGTAAACAAACATACAGTGCTGCCAGTCATATAGAAGTATAGCACATACGATTATGTACAGCAAATTATATTTGATAATGATTGTCATTGATTTATGAATTCACTAAATTATACTTTTAAATGTTTTCTGAAGCCTTAGCATGTTTTTAATGCCCACTGGTATTTGATTAATTTCTTGCCTCAACAGTACTTTGTCATTGTTTCTTTTTTTGTATCAGGAACTGAACCCAGGGGCGCTTTACCACTAAGTCATACCCCTGGCCCTTTTTTATTTTGAGACAGGATCTCATTAAATTACTTAGGGCTTCCCTAAATTGCTAAGACTGGCTTTGAACTTGCAATTCTTTTGCCTCAGCCTCCGGAGCTGCTGGGATTATCGGTGTGCACCACCACTGTGAACACAAGTACTTTGTCAACTACAGTAGAACCCACAAAATAAAATCCCCAGCCTCCCCGGCAGCTAGGACTTAAGCATCTCCAATCTGATGTCCCTGTAGAAAAAGTTCATTTTGGAAGTAATCTGAAAAGAAGGCTCCATGAAGAATTATTTTAGGTGGTTTTCAATATGGAGTAAATTTTTCTGTAGTTACAGTGTCCCCAGTGCAGATGTGACATTAGTAGGGTAATTCTAATACAATGTCAATTTTCTTTAGGGCTTTCTGAGTTGCTGGGACAGGTTTTACATGATATGGTTTTAGAATTGTTCCTGGAAGCCAAGTATGGATTTGTGTCTCTAGTCATCTCAAAAATTTTGTCAACCACTGAACCTCTTTATTTAAAATTACTTTTTGCCTGGTCAGAGTCAGCTTTAGATGTTGCAGCAATATGCTTAATGGGTACACTGCAATTTATTTCATTATAATGTATTTTTTGACCTTTTTCTTCTGCTTACATCACCTAACTTTCAAGCTATTCATAAGCTTTATTTGACAAGATTTAAAATTGCATTGAAATAACTTTTACTAGACTTATCCACTTGTTTTTCTCAATGAAGTTCCAAATAAACAGAGATGAAAAAGAAAAGGTATTTTTATTCTTTTGCAGTACTTGGGATTTAACCCAGGGGTTCTTTACCACTGAGCTACATCTACATCCCCAACCCTTTTTAACAATTTTTTTTCTTTTAAAAACTGTATGTGTTTTTATGGCATGTACCACCACACCATAAACATACATACAATTTAGAGCTGAAAATATTTATAAAATAGCTGAAAACTATTTTTTAAAAAATATTTTTTAGTTGTAGCTGGACATAATACTTTTATTTTATTTGTTTATTTTTTTTATGTGGTGCCATGGATGGAACATGGTGCTGGGGATGGAACACAGTGCCTCTTACATGCTAGGCAAGCGCTCTACCACTGAGCCACAACCCTGACCCTGAAATCTATTTTTAATTTGTCTTCCAACCAAAGTTGCAAAGAAAACATACTATTTTCTATTTCTATTATAGCCCGCCATGAAAGATGAAAATTTGAGTCCTTTATCACCAGAACAAATGAATCTCTTTTCCAGGTCCTCTTACATTTCTTCTCAAAATGGAGAAAGAAGTCTGTATGTAGCAAGACTGTTGAGGCTAAAGATTAAGGATGAAAACCTGACACAGAAGTAATCTTCTGCTGAATAAATTTTTTAAAATTATTAAGGAAATGAACTATATCCATTATGTCACTGTATGTACCACTGTATATGTACTACTTTCTATGTATGGCTAGATGATAATTCCCTTAATTTTACATGTTTCTGAATTTTCTATAAAAGGAATCAAACCACTTGTAGTCATTTGCAATGTTAAGTGGTTCTCATATGGTTCTCATATGTCAATTTGTATTGCTGTAATTTTTCATTTTTACTGAGCATGACATAATATGTAAATATAGCACAATTCTGTTCTCTAATAAAACTGTTTTTTTACCTGTTTCAAATATTCCTGCTATGAACAATGCTGTGTGTGTGTGTGTGTGTGTGTGTGTCTTCTAGTATAGCTGGCCAGAGTATATTTATCGATATCCATAACTCTATCTATATGTGTATATCTAACTAACTTATGTGACAGCAAAGGCTTTCAGACTTTTTACACCTTAACCATATTTATCTTTGATGTTTTCTATTCTATCTCAATGTTAGATCGATTACAACCACTTCAGGTGCCTCTAATGGGTCACAACCTACAACTGGAAAAGCACTGCTTTAATGATATGGGAGACAGGTCTACGAGTGCCAAGGCTGAGGTCCAGAACTCAGGAATTTGATTGCTCCCCCAACTCTTGGAGGTATTCTGGGGGATATGCTGCAGCTTGGACATTTGTTATGCTCCAGGTTACAAAGACTAGAAGCCTCGGGATGACATGCATGCCCTAGCAGGCATACTGCCAAAACTTGGTAGGTGAGATGGGCTGGCCACAGCCCAAGGGCCATGTTACTAGGTGCACAGGCTAAAGGCCTCAGAATTGAGCCTGTTCGGTCCACATACTTCAAAAGCAAGGACTTGTGGTGGCTCCAACAGTTGTCTTGCCCAGTACACATATAAAAAGCCTCCAGAGGGAATACAGCCTTGGTGTGTCAACATTCCCTTAATCTGCCTGATTCAAAACAGCGTGCAGCCTCCATGTTGCCCCAACCAGCTGAGTGTGAGCTGAGAAGAAACACAGCAGATTTCAGTTTTGGCCCATTATCTATCTCAGTATCTAGTAGTTTCTAACGTAGAAGACAGGGAAAAAAGCATATCAGCTAGGAGGAATTAATGCCT